GCTCCCATAGATCCCTACCCTGGGCATTCACCCTATTCCAACTCCATGCCCTGTAGTAGCTCTGGACTCTTGACCCAGTCATTTCTGTTTTGGGGTTTGCCTGAAGCAAATTCACTATATGGATATAAAATATATTTATTATGTTCTGATGTTGATATTCCTATATTTTGTGTCCTTAATTCATACCTAGATCTAGATCTAATTTTCTTATTGACCAAGTACTTTGGTAGCCAGTGCTATCACTTTGAAACCTTTCCTCCTTATTTCTTCAAAGGCCATCAGCAGATACCCTTTTTTTTTGCTTGTTTCAAGCATAAGAGTCTCTTTTGGACTTCCTAGGAAGTTCTTGTTTCCAGTTTGAAGGATAGTATTGGTAACATAATAATACAATCTTATAGTCAGAAGGAACCTTAACAACATTTCCAAAGTGCTTTATAGTTTTTTAAGCTCTTTTATCAGAGCAACCCTTTGAGTTAGGTTTATACACATATATGTATGTATTTGTTGTTACGTTTTTTTTACAGATGGAGAAAGTAAGGCTCAGAGAGAGGTTAAGTGACTTGCCCATGACCAGTGTTGAAAATGGGATTTTAATTTAGGTCTTCTGACTCTTAAGTCCAGATCTTTCCACTACACCTAAGAATTCATTCTAGCTCAATTCTTGTCAGATAGATGGATTTTTCTTTATCATATCTAACTCTTGTTTGTTGCGTTTAGTATTCCATAAATGTCATTGTTAATGACAGGTCTTTTCTGTGCACCTTCATATAAATAACCTTATTCCCTAGTGGCTAGGTGTTTTTTTGTGGAAATTAGGCCCTCAGTTGCTTTTTTTTTTAATACCTGCATATTATTTCTTCATCTTATATGCTTTATCATGGTTATTATTATTCAGTTCTTTCAGTCATGTCTGACTCTTCATTACCCATTTGGGGTTTTCCTGGCAAAGATACTGGAGTAGTTTGCCATTTCCTTTTCCAGCTCATTTTACAAATGAGGAAACTGAGGCAAATAGTCAAGTGACTCACTCACCCAGGGTCACACAGTTAGTAAGTGTCTGAGGTCAGATTTGAACTTGAGAAGATAAATCTTCCTGACTCCACGCCTGGCACTCTACCCAATATGCCACATAACTATCCTGTGTTCTACGTTAAAATGCCATTAATATTGTACCCCATTGCTCTGCTGTTCTTATATCCCCCTATGTAATTTCTCAATTAGACTCTAAGCCCCTCAAGGACAGGGACTGTGTTCTGTCTTCTTTTGTATTCCTAGTGCTTAGCACAGTGCCTGGCTCATAAGTGCTTAGTAAATGTGTGTTGACTGACATATATCTGAAGGCCCTGGCCTACATTCTTGCCATCTAGTCTCCTTTAAAAATATTTTATTGATGCTTTTTAAAAACAATGCTGTCATTTCTAACTAAACTCCTCCATTCTCTTCTTCCCTGTAGAACCTTCTTTTGCTATAAAGAAGTACAATTAAGCAAAACAAACTGACACAATAAAAAATGAGAGCATTGGACAAAGTGACCTCTAAGACCCTTCCAATTTTAAATGTATGATCCTGCATTCCTAACTCTGTATCTCTGACAAATCATCCAGCTTCATTCAACGAACATTAAATGACTACCCAGTAGTGTGTACTGTCTTGGCTCTTTCTCTAAGCAAAGATAACTGTGCTGTCAATGAGCCCAGTAAATAGTCATTCTGGTTCAGGTTACCAGCTTTGTCCATTTTCCCAGGTTATTCCTGATGACTCATTCTTCAGGTACATTACCCTCCTCCTTCCCATTGTCTGTCAGAATTCATTCATTTGGCAAATGAGGACCTTTTTAAAAAATTATAAACTTAACCTTTAATATAAAGAATCATATACAGATGCAAAATGAGGAGTAAAATCTTATCTAAATTCCCTAGCATTTAACAAGGGAGAACAGAATGAATTAACAGATAAGCAAAGAAAATGTTTTTGTTTTGTGTCCCCTCATTTTGTCTGAAGTTCTTTTGCTTCTGACTTTAATAAAGTTAAGAAATTAATAATTAATGTTATCTATCTGCAGTTATACTGTAGAAAAAAATCTTTCATCAGGTAATTATATGGAAAATTCACCCTAACAAGCACAGATCATCAGGTTGAGAAGGAGTCTAGTTGATGTGAGACTGAGACCTTTAGCAAACTTGTCTTTTAAGACTTAGAAATTAGGCCAAACTGTGAGAGGAGTGGAGAGGTGAGATGGATGCAGCTTCCTGTGGCTTAAAAGTCATTATAAGTGTGTGGTCAGAAGTATAGAAAATTGGTGATCTACTCCTGTTCCCCAAATAAGGGGATATGGGAAAATCTAATTGTATCATGGAACCCATTTAGGGCCCTGGGAAACTCATCATGAAAAAAAATTTTTTTGAGGAAATATTTCTTATTTTTCTTATGTTGTTTGACTTCTATTCTTCTCCCTCTAAAGAAAAAAAAAGATATTAAAAAAACTCCCAGAAAACATGACACAAATGAAGACTCTTATGTCTAAGATTCTTCCAAGCTCCAACACATTAATAACACACATACATACACATGCCTTAATGTCTTTGGGACATTGTGTGTGTGTGTGTGTGTGTGTGTGTGTGTGTGTGTGTAGTATTTTAAGATCTGCATTGTGCTTTCCTCATAAAATCCCTAAGAAGTAGGTAGTATAAATAATATCCCTCTCTGTTTTATAAATTAGGACAATGAGGACTTAAGAGAACCTAGCCCAAAATTAATTAGCAGAGACAGAATTTCATCTTGGCCTTTTTGACTCTACTGTACCACATTACTTTGCACAGGTTATAGTATGTGGCAGAGCCAGGATTCAGAGATTCTGTGACTCTAGGCTGTGTTCTTTTCCATAATTCTACAAGATCTATGAATCTAAAATTTATTTGGGCAACTAAGTAGTGCAGTTGATAGAGCACAGGGCTTGGAATCAGAAAGACTTGTCTTCCTGAGTTCAAATCTGATCCAAGACACTTACTAGCTATGTTACCCTGGGCAAGTCATTTAACCCTATTTGCCTCAGTTTCCTCATCTGGAAAATGAGCCAGAGAAAGAAATGGCAAACTACTCCAGTATCTTTGTCAGGGAAACTCCAAATGGGGTCACAAAGAGTTGGACACAACTGAAACACCTGAACAACAAAATGTATTTGGAACAGTTCCTTCATAACTCACATTTATATAGTGATTTAAAGTTTGTAGTGTACTTTACACATGCTAACTCATTTGATTTTTAACAAACAACCCTGTGAGTTAGGTGCTATTATTTCCATTTTACAGATGAGGAAACTGAGCCTGGGAGTGGTTAAGTGACTTGCCCAGGGTCATGTAACTAGTAAGTACGTGAGACAGGGTTCAAACTCAGCTCTTCCTGATGCTATCTACCATGCCACCTCAATGCCTGGTTTGCTAGTCCCCTCCACTGTCCTTGCCACCCAGATGGAGGTGCTCTGGTTTATCGATGTCTTTCCTAAAATATGGTCTTCAAAACTATGAAACCATTTCAGGTTCAAGTAAAGTAGGACTATCTCTTCTATTTGTTATTAACACCATATTTTTTTTCCAAGGAAACAGTCTGAACTTAATGTCCTAGAAAGCTACCATTTTGGAGGTCTTTTATAGATTCTTTTAAATTTTCATTAGAAAAAAAAATACAAGGAAAATGACCATTCTGCTGCCTTATGTACAGACTGATAGTGACAGACAAAAGTTTGGATCATTTCTTTAGGGAAAAAATGTAATGCTAATAAGAAATGGAAGAATATTTTTGTAGTTTTGAGTGACGTATTTTAGTAAGACATTCAGACATTTGAAGACCTACCATACAAAGAAAGGGATTAAATTTGTGTTGCTTTGTTTCAGAAGCCATAAGCAGGAACAGTAAATAGAAGTCCCAGAGGAAAAGCTTTTAGCTCCAACAATTAGGGCTGTCCAAAGTTGGAATGGGTTACTTTGGTGAGGGTAATGCGTTCCCAAGGTCACACAGCGAGTGTCTGATATGGATTTCAACTCAGGTTTTCCTGACTCTGGGTCCACCACTCTATGCACTGCACCACCTAGCTTCCTCTAACAAGGGACTGTCAGCCATAAATGAGAGCAGTTTCTCCATCACATCCAGCCCTGTTGAGTTGGTTAATACATGTAGAGCACAGTGTATCTTATACTCTCTCACAAAAGGACCATTGATTCGATGTTGCTGCTTTTGGTTACTGTGACTTAGAGTAAGTGCTTGATAACTTCTGAATTATAAGTTTTTGTTAATGGGGTAGTTTTGTACAATTATTAATTGCAGAGCAGCATCCAGTCTGCTTTGGTAGAAGGTGGTTCCTTACTTTGGAATTCCCTGCACCACTGAATTCACAGGACTAGATCAAAATGGTTGGATTCTGAGTAGATTTTTTTTTCCTCACCAGATCCTCTCCTGTCAGTTTAGGTAGCATGCCAGCTGGGGAGCTGAGTCTGCAAAAGCAGAAACAAATTTTAAAAATATAAATTTTTAAAAAATGAATGAGTAATTGTTGGGAACTTTATTTGTGGGATAGAGTGAATTTCTGTAAAAAAAAGTTTCCTTAAATTAACATTTAAATATTTTATTTTGCTTTCTATAAATTCTGTATTTAATTTGTGTCATTTTAAATATAAATGACTTCTGCGGAAGACTACAAAAGGAACTAAACTTGTTTTAATTGTGATGAGACAATATTTGTAAGGTGTTTTGCAAACCTTAAAGTGCTACATAATGCTATTTATTGTTAATAATAACAAATAGGTACTTGAAATCCATCAGGATGCATGACCCAGCTTCTTTTATCTGTATCTACCATTCATCTTCCATAATATGACTTCTCTGATAATTTTTCCATGTATGGAAAACCACATTTTAGGGATTCTGAATTATTTATTCTTAACTAAGTCATAGATAATTTGTGGAATGAAATGGAATCAAACTTTTACCTCTCTCTTTTTTTTAAGCCTGATGAATTGTACTTTGAAGAAGGTGATATTATCTACATTTCTGACATGGTAAGCATAAATAAGTTGCTGCTAGATGTAAAGATTTTTATATGTAATATAACCATAAAATAGTACCTGTCCATAGAAGGACTAAAGGAAACCAGAAATACATAAATTAAATTGGACATTTGGTCTAAAATTAATATATTTTTGCCTTTTATCTTTTTTTTCTTTTGTGAAAAAACTATATTTGCCACAGGTAGGTATTTATGTTGCTAATCTAATGGTTTAGGGAGAAAAAAGGTAGTTAAGATGTAAGAGAGCTTGATAAATATGGATAGCTAGGTCTATATTTCATAGAGCACATAGATTTTTATAGGGCAAATAAGTTGGAAACAAATGTGCATATTGGTTTAATATCTAATATTACAAATTATTAGTAATTATAACAGTTAACATAATTAGTCATAACATTAATCTTTAATATCACATATTTGATTTGAAATTGATTTAATATAATTTAATTGTTTCTCCCACCTGCCACCCCAGAGTGATACCAACTGGTGGAAAGGGACCTCAAAAGGCAGGACTGGACTCATTCCAAGCAACTATGGTAAATTTTGTGACTTTTACTTCAGTTCACTGAATAATTATTTCAACCTCTTTTTTAATTACTTAGATTTATGGGCCCCCTTCCTGGCTGTGATAACTGAGGAATTAGTAGGGTAGATACCATCTAGAATATTCTTTACTCCATGTGGTCCCCTTCCATTATGGAAGATGTGATTATCAAATAATTTCACCCTGAAGTGGTCCAAACGGGCTTGTGCCATGAGCAAAAGTCTTGAAATGGAATAGGGAACAGAGTATCTCATGGCCATCTCTGCCATCTTTCCATGCGGAGGCCTGAATCTTCCTGTTGCCAAGTCAATTTGTTTCTTAGTTTGTGTGTCCTGAAATCCGTGGAAGGAAAGCCTAATCTTACAGTGCTTTTCACCAAGTGACATTCTATAACTACCTCAAGAAGCAATGCGGGGCAGTGGCAAGAGGACCAGGTTTGGACTGAAGTAGACCTGGGCTCTAGATCTGACTCAAGCACTCCCTGTGACTGTAGACAAGGCATCTTCTTTCTTGGAGCCTCAGTTTTGTCATCTGTCATAGAGGATGATACCTCAAGGACCTACCTACCTAGCAGAGTTGTTGTGAGGGTCAGATGAAATAAGGTACGTAAAATATCAAAGTGCCACTTCTTTGTCATTACTGCCATGACCTCCTGGGTGATGGAGAGTTAGGGAATCAGACACATGGTTCCCACCCTCAAGTGATATAAAAGAAAAGTACCTATAAATTAAAGTGGAAAAACTTTTACAAGAAGCTATATATAGCTACCTAGAGCTGAGCAGATTTGCATATAGGTACTGAATAATCAAGGCCCAGGAGACAATGGAAAGGAGGTGGGGGGTGGGGGGCAGGGGAAGGTTTGTAGGAGTTATTGGCATAACTGGAACAAAGGTATGACCAGTTTGGGGGGGGTTCCATAAAGGAGATTAGGTGTGAATCATTTCTACATTTCTCCCTACTGGCCAGTGCTTCCTGGTTAAGAAATGAATTGTTTGGGGCCAATAGAAACACCACCTACCGTAACTCCCCATTCCCCACAAATTGTGAGTCTCCAGGTAGTTTTTGCATGGTAGTTAAGCCCAGCCCCAATGTTAGATCACCTGCAGCTGAAAGAGCGTTCTTTGGACTGGCTTCCTGAGGGCAGTGAACAGATTTTCCTCTGAGAGATGAAACTGCTGTTCTCAGAGATAAAGAGAAGGGGCATCTATTTTTTCCCATGCTAATTCTTACCGTGGCTTTTATTAGCCATTGTTATTTCTATTAAGAAAGAAGATTCCTCTGTTTAGTGAAAACAACTCATTAGTGGGGAAATATGTACTTCTATTCAGGCACCTTGAGAATAATCATACTAATGGAATTTAGCGGTGGAGTTTAGAGATCATTAAGTTCAACTTCCTCATTTTACAGATGAGGAAACTGAATCTCAGAAAGTTTAAGTTATTTGTCAAAGAGGTAGCAAGAGCTAGGACTTGAAACTAAATTTGCCCCTCAAATTCAATGTTCTTTCTACAGATGTTTAAAATGCATTACAGGCATTGGATGTTTATATAACTTCTTTCTTTATTGTTAGAAGAAGCTTGAAATAGCAGATTTGTGGTATATCTCCTTTTTTTCTCCTTCTAATTAGTGGGTATATAATTACCTTTTCACTTGGGTTGTTTTCATTAAACATAAAGATTAGCTTGCCTTTAGGGAAAGAAAGCATCTGAGAGATGTTTTGTTTTCTTCCTTTTGGCTAAGTAAATAAAATGGGAACGAAAACCATAGGAATGATGACAGTGACTTTTTAGATAGAGGATAGTCTCCGTGAAACAGGCCACACACTGTATTGAACAGGCTTGGCATCTTGTGCCAGTTGGCATTGTCATTTGATTTTGGGTTTGCCTTTTTTTTTCCTTTTCCCTTTAGTGGCTGAACAAGCAGAGTCCATAGATAATCCGCTTCATGAAGCTGCCAAGAGAGGTGGGTGTGACTTGGCTAGTTTGAGGGGGCTTGCTAGAGTGCTAATTTGCATAAATTTCTTAAATTGGTGTAATGTAGAGGTACTCACTTCAGTCTTATGGCCGACAGTGAACTTAGAGTTATTAATAAGCTAATATTTTTTAGGCTGCTCGTACTGTCTACCAAAGGCATTATTCTGAATGTTTAGAATTTATTATTTTGGATTAGTACTGGCAGGCCTGTAACTTTGAGTGGTCAGTTAGTACTCCTTCAATAAGAGCTGATAATGGCACAGGTCCGGAATTTGATGTTTTCTCTTGGCCTCTACTTTTGTTTTTATGTAACTACACTCCATGGGAAAGGATTGTTTATTTAGGAGGCAGGAACTTAATAGAGCCTTTGTAACAATACAGTTAAAATTAGTGACTTTAGTTGACAAAATGTACCAAAGGGGGCAGCTAGATGGCACAGTTGATATAGAGCCAGGCCTGGAGTCAGGAAAACTCATCTTCCTGAGTTCAGATCTGGCTGAACACACTTACTAGCTGTGTGACCCTGGGCAAGTCATTTAACCCTATTTGCCTCATTTTCCTCATCTGCAAAATGAACTAGAGAAGGAAATGGCAAACGTTTTCAGTATCTTTGTCAAGAAAACCTCAAATAGGGGCAACTAGGTGGCAGAGTGGATAGAGCACTGGCCCTGGAGTCAGAAGGACCTGAGTTCGAATCCAGGCTCAGACACTTGACACTAACTCTGTGACTCTGGGCAAGTCACTTAACCCCAATTGCCTAAAAAAAAATAAAACAAACGCAAATGGGGTCACAAAAAAGTCAGAAATGACTGGAAAAAAAACCAACACAACCCATAGTGATAGGATTATTAGAGAGGTGATGATTTGGACCTTGTAGATTAATCCATTCCAAACTGAAATTCTATGTAAAAAAGGTGTTGATTTAAAAACAAAACCAAACTTCTTCTTTACTTGCACTTTACCATCATTGCAGGCAACTTGAGCTGGTTGAGAGAATGCTTGGATAACAGAGTTGGCGTCAATGGCTTAGACAAAGCTGGAAGCACTGCTCTGTACTGGGCTTGTCATGGTGGTCACAAAGGTATGATGCGTTGTTGCTAGTATGTTTCCATGCTATGGAAGATGTACTTAGAGTTGTGGGGGGTTTTTTTTCAATTTTTTTCTGTTAAGACTAATCTCAAAGCACTTTAATGACGTGGGTTTTCTTTAATTGTCAAAATGTTAAATGCTATTCTTGACATCTCATTTTATTTTATATGGTTTATTTTTGCCTTTTAAAATGTGTTACTCTTTTATATCTTTCAGATGTAGTGGAAGTGTTATTTACCCAACCAAATATTGAACTAAATCAGCAGGTGAGGAAACCATACCATAACTCTTCCTTTAAACTTATCTCTTTTTAGTAACCTGCGTATGTGCTTTTTAAGTCTAATTGTGTTATAGAGTTGGAATTTTTCTTTCTTGTATGTTGAAGAGATTGCTTTTTCTTCTTACTTCCATAGAATAAGTTGGGGGACACAGCTTTGCATGCTGCCTCCTGGAAGGGTTATGCCGACATTGTAGAGATGCTTCTGGCGAAAGGTAAACCTAAAAATTGATTTCAGCACTCACTCTATTCTTTTTCTTAATGAAAAAACAAAACAAAACAATGAAACAAACTTTAATAAACATAACCAAAATGAGCATTTCCATATACATAGTAGTACAAAAAAAGAGTATTGTATATGAAACTGTGAATCTCAATTAAATGCAGCTTTTTTTTTTCTTTTAGAGTCTATAGTAAATTCAGTGTTATTTTCAAAGCTGTCTTGCTTGTCTGAGATTCTGTCTGGCCTTTTCTTCTGTAGCACTCACTAACCAGGGGGAAAAAAGTTAATATTTAACCCAAGGGTGGGGAACCTGCAACCTCGAGGCCACACGTGGCCCTGTAGGTCTTTGGATACAGCCTTTTGACTGAGTCCAAGTTTTACAGAACAAATCTTTTTATTAAGGATTTATTAAGGATTCGTTTAACCTGTTTAGTTGGTGTCTGAATCCAATACCACACACATTTATTAAGTACCTATTAGATACCTTTCTAAGGTAAGGCAGTAGAGTATAGTGGGTGGAGGACTGAACCCAGAGTCAAGAATACCTGGATCTCAAAAGCTGACTAGCTGTGTGACCTTGGGTGAGTTATTTAACCTCCATAAACCCCATCAATAAAATGAGGGGCTGGATTTGATGACCTCTAAGTTCCCTTCCAGCTCACAATCTTTATCCTAGAATAGGGGTGGAGACCTGTGGCCTCAAAGCCACGTGTGTCCTTCTAGATCCTTGGGTGAGGCCTTTTGCCAGTCCAAGTTTTATAGAACAAATCTCTTTTTTTTTTTTAAGCACACAGCTAGTACGTGTCAACTGTTTGGTCTGAGGCTGGATTTGAACTCGGGTCCTCCTGAGTTCAGGTTTAGTGCTGCTACCTAGCTGTGCCACCTAGCTGCCCCTAGAACAAATCTTAAACGGATTTGTTCTGTAAAACTTGAACTCAGTCAAAAGGCTGCACCCAAAGCTAGGTGGCACAGTGAATAGAGCACCAGCCCTGAAGTCAGGAGGACCTGAGTTCAAGACCAAACACTTGACACTTACTAGCTGTGTGACCCTGGGCAAGTCACTTAGCCTCAATTGCCTTTAAAAGGGGGGGGCAGCTAGGTGGAGCAGTGGATAGAGCACCGGCCCTGGATTCAGAAGGACCTGAGTTCAAATCCAGCCCCAGACCAAGCACTTGACACTTACTAGCTGTGTGACCCTGGGCAGGTCACTTAACCCCAATTGCCTAAAAAGGAAAAACAAAACAAAACAAAAAAAGGGGACTTTGGCAGTTAGGTGGCGCAGTGGATAGAGCACCAGCCCTGGGTTCAGGAGGACCTGAGTTCAAATTTGACCTCAGACACAAAACACTTACTAGTTTTGTGACCTTGGGCAAGTCACTTAACCCCATTGCCTAGCCAAAAAAAAAAAAAAAGCCTGCACCCAAAGACCTAGAAGGCCATATGTGGCATTGTTCAAGGTGCTAGTATATGAAGACCCTCTCCCCTCCTCCCCAAATTGTATCTGCCTTCAAGGAACTTTTGTTCTACCTAGGAGAGAGGGATAAAGCATATAAACAGATGTCTTTGCACAATTATCTAAACAGGGTGAGAGTATTAACACCTAGGGGTGTCAGGAAAACTTCCTTATAGGTGGTAGAACATATGCTGAGCCTTAAAAGAAGCCAAAGATTTAAGGAAGAGGTCGGGGGAGGGGCAAAATTCACTGGGACACAGAGGCAGGAGCTGGTAGGGTGGCTTTGGGGAACAGTAAATAGACTAGACTGGAAGGATGATAGTGTCCTAAACAGAATAGGGAAGTGAAGAGGGAGGAATAGCGTTTGGGGGAAGATAATGAGTTCCATTTTGGGCATATAGAATCTGTATTACTCAGCATCCTACAAGAAATCTGATATAAAGCAGAAGTGAATAAAAGAATAGAAGGAAACAACTTAAATTCAGCTGTAGATAAATTGGAACTGCCCAGGAGAAAAAAACGAAGCCCAAGAGATTTTTATTTCCTATTTCTCTAAATTGTACTGTTTTGTCTGGCTCAAGACTTTTTCTAAATTTTTATTTTTTTAGCCTTTAAATGTTAATTTTTTGCATATTTTTTTTTAAAGAAGAGTTGAAGCATGTATTGCATAAATTATTTTAGACAACAGAACAATGTGGAACAGCAGATCATATGTGGATTTAGTTGTGCAACCAGTTCATTTAATCTGAAAGAGACCCTGCAGATATAAAATGTCACTCTATCAAATCCATTCCCCATCTCCTTGACCTTTCCCTTTAAATGAACATCTTTAGAAGCAAGAGGGTAAAAGGTACCTTTTAGTTAATTGTAACACAGTCATTATAGTCTCAAAGTTTACAACTAATTAGTAGCTAAGTGGCACAGTGGATAGAATTCTTGGCTTGAAGTCAGGGGGATCTGAGTTCAAATATGGCCTCAGATACTTTCAAGCTGTGTGACCTTTCTAGCTGGGCAAGTCATTTAATGCCTGTCTGCCTTAGTTTCCTCACCTGTAAAAATAGAGATGTTAGTATCTACCCCCCAGGTTATTGTGAGGATCTAATGAGATATTTGTAAAGTCCTATGCAAACCTTAAAATGCTACATAAATGATAGCTATTATTATTATTATTTTAATGTATCTGATGATGTGGTATTTACTCTGGGTGGTTACAAACTATTCGCCAAGTTTTCTAACCTTAATTTGATAGAAATATTAAGGGAAATATCTTTTTTTTTTAAGAGTAATAACAGATTGTAAGAAGCATCATGATGTAGTGGAGCTGACCTTGAGACAAGTCCTGACTCAGACACATACTGGTTGTGTGACCCTGGGCAAGTCACTTAACCTTTTACTGTTGTGCAATCATGTCTGACTCTCCATGACCCCATTTGGGGTTTTCTTGGCAAAGATACTGGAATGGTTCACCATTTCCTCCTCCAGGTCATTTTACAGATGAGGAAGCTTAGGCAAACTGGATTATGTGACTTGCCCAGGGTCACATACCTAGTAATTATCTGAGGCCAAATTTGAACTCAGGTCTTGATGCTCTATCCACCTACCTGCTCCTCCCACTGCTGCTAGGCTACGGGCTATAGGTACAGGTTGCAGAGAAAGGTTCTATCTATGGTAGAGGGAGTATCCCTGCTTAGAAGTGCCCAATATAAATGAAATAACAGATCTAGTCCCTATCTCTATCCCCAGATGACTGTAATGAGCACATTAGCCACAAGGTCCTTAATTGAAGGTGTCAAATATGCTATTACAACCTCCTTCTTTTGTTTTTGTTGTTTTATTACTGAACTAAAACAAAATCCTCCTAAGCCAAAACTGCCTTTCCCCCTTCTACCTATGTGACCTTAGACAAGGTCCCCTTACTGGGACTCAGTTTCTCCATCTGTAAAATGAGGAAAGTTGAATTAGATGACCTCTTAAGGACTCTTGCCATTTTATGTTACATAATGCTTCTGTCTCTTGCTTGTCTTTGCCAAAGGTGGTCATTTATTTGGATGGGAGGTAAAGACAAGATTTTGCCGTTTCTCTTAGGCTTTCAAAGGGGTGGTGGAGGAATGGATTTGTTAAGGATATGGATGTTCTTCTCCACGCCCCCCCCCCAAAAAAAATGACTCATGTCTTTTGTTGTAAAAGGTGCTAGGACAGACTTGAGAAATAATGAGAAGAAGCTGGCCCTGGACATGGCGACCAATGCTGCCTGTGCTGCTCTGCTTAAGAAGAAACAAGGAACAGGTATCTCAATTTATTATTTCTTTCCTTTCCACCTTCATTTCAAACTTTAAGGTTAGATTGTTTTCCCAAAAAAAGGTGTTTTGGTGGCTTCTTAAGATTATTTTTCTCTACCAGGAATAGGAACCCTAGCGGCGTAAAAAAAAAATCCCAGATAAAAATGAGTGCTGTAATGAAATACAGCTTTTGATTTTTTGATTCATATCTCCTTTCATTCCCCCAATTTACTATTTGGGTAATGTTGGTTTTCCAGCAATCTCCCCCCTGCCCATACTCAGGCTTTTATCTCATCGCTCCTCAGGGTCGGATAGTACTTCCTATCCCTTGCTACAGATAACGTATTTATAACTAGATCTTTTATTTAAAACACATGCTCACTGAAACACTCAGCGAGTTTTTTGGATACAACAATCTCAAAATTTATTCCAAGGTCTTTGTTTTCTAGCAGCTCAAGAGTCTATCGATGGAGTTACTTCCTACCCCCACCTTTGCTTAGGTCCTATTTATTTTATATATATATATATATATATATATATATATATATATATATATATATATATATATATATATATATAGCTCTCTAGATAAATTTTAACAAAGTCTACATATCTGTGTCAAAGGAGGAGTCTTTTTTGGGTTTTGAGAGCAAGTTTTAACAATCATGAAAAGAGTTTATGCAGTGGTTTTGAAAGAGAAGACATAGCACACATTCAGATCACTATTTCTCTGTGAATAATCCCTCTGAATATTTTGCCTTTGACGTTAGACTAGCACTCAGACCCAGTCATGATGGAGTCTTTTCCCTGGGTCACCACTAAATTCCACTTATTCCACTTACTTTAGTACTTGAAAGTGGGGGATAAGGATCATGGTGTGTCTTTTTTTTTTTTGGTAGTTTTAATTCTGCTCTTTCACTTTTAGATGTGTTCAAGTTACTTGAGTACCACTCCTATCATCATTTCCTTTTCCTCTGTTATCCTCTCTTTCCTCCTTCCTGCAAAGCCTCAAATGGAAAAAGCGGGGTTAGTGCCTGGGAAAAATTATCCCTTTCCTTCAATCAACCAGCAAGCACTTATTCATAATACAAATAATATAAATGAAATAATCTTTATTCACAAGAAACTTATATTCTAATGGGGGGGGGAGAAGTGCAACAAAGACAAATATAAGTATATGCAGAATAAATACAAATTAGCTAAATACTGTGAAGTGGCATGTGGATAGAGCACAGGACCTCGAGTCAGGAAGACCAGAGTTCAGATGTGGCCTCGGACACTTAATAGCAGTGTGACCCTGGGCAAGTCACTTAGCCCTGCTTGCCTCAATTTCCTCATCTGTAAATAAGCTGGAGAAGGAAATGGCAAACCTTTCTAGTATCTTTGTCAAGAAGACCCCAAATTGAGTCCACGAAGAGTTGGACACAACTGAAACAACTGAACAACCATAGTTAAATACCAGGTAGTTAAAGAAGTATTAGCCACTGAGAAGATAAGGGAAGTCTTCACACAGAAGATGCTGCTTAAGCTGTGTCTTGAAAGAAGAGAAGGGTTCTGTGAGGCAGAAGTGAGAAGGGAGTGCAGTCCAGGTGTCGAGGACAGCCAATACAAAGGTACAGGTAGGAAATGGAGTATTATGTGGAATCTTATATCTGCCACACATAATAACACTGTGTTGAAGCAGAAACAATGCATACATTTTGTTTCACCATTTCCTGTCATCTCTGACAGCAGGGTCAACTCTGAGGAGCACAGGTGGCTGCCAGGTTTCAGGGGAAAGGATCATTCTCTCCCCTACCCCTCCACTTGGTCTTGGCTTCCAAAGCCCTTTATAACCTAGCCCTCTCCTATCTTTCAAGTCTTCTTACACCTTACTCCCACTTACTCTTTGATCCAGTGATGCTGGCCTCCTGACTGTTCCATTTACGGGCTCCTTCTCTTGGCTCCAGGCATTTTTTTCTGGCTATTAACCATGCCTGGAACGCTCTCCCTCCTCTCTTCTAACTATTGATTTCCTTGGTTTCCTTTAACTTTCAACTAAAATCCCACCCTCTTCAAGAAGTTTTTCCCAGTCCCTCTTAATTCTAATGCTTTCCCTCTGTTAATTATTTCCTATTTATCCTGTATATAGCTTGTTTTATAAATCTGTGTATACGTATTTTTATACATGTATATGTGTGTGTGTATGTGTGTGTGTGTGTGTATATATATATATATATTTGTTTGCATGTTGTCTCACCCATTAGACTGTAAGTTCCTTGAGGATAAGGACTATCTTTTGTCTTTTGTGTTTATCACAGTGCCTGGCACATAGTAGGCACTTAATAAATGTTTATTGATTGATTATTCAATTAAAATGCATATCATGGGTAACTTTGAAGGGAGACAAGAAAAAAAGCAAAATGTATCTGGGTTTAGGGTAGGGAAGAGAGAATATAAAAAAGAAAGGAAATCAAACAAAAGGAAGAGCTTTGCTGTGGTGGTGGTGGATCATAGACTGATTGCATTTCAGCAGAAGCTGGCTAAGCCACTTAATTAAGTTTTTACTCTATGCCAGGTCCTGTGCTAAGTGCTTTGCATAGAAATACAAGCAAACAAAACAGTCCCTGCCGTCATTTTAGTAGCTGAAGATGACATATAACAGGGAGACAGGGAGGGGGAAGAGAAAGTGTGTTGAGTGAATTGAGGCCACGAGTAGGGTGAGGCGTCTTCTGGGGTCTTTCCTTCTTAAAATAATGATCCCTATAAAGGAGTCACCAACCAGGAGAGCAGAGGCTCAAGGAAGAGGTTTCCTGTGAGTGGGATGGTGAGACTGATGAAGGGAAGGCTGGAGACGAGTCTTGCTTGGCCTTTTTGCAGTTCTGTTGCTTATCTCCTTTTCTATCCATGGCTCTTAGCTATTTAGGAAGTTGGGGTTATTATGGAAAAATCAGGTACAGATTGCTTAAGGCGCATTTACCCAATGATCTATTGACTCCAAGTAAGCTTGAAAACTTGTTATCAGCTCTATCCTCCCCCATCTGCCTTCCTGCACCCTTTCTTTCCCCTGTCACATTTGCCTAACAAAGGTTTCCCGTCTGCTTCTTTAAAATTCTTTTTAAAGGCCTCTTGCCCTTAACTGAAGGAATCTGAATAGAAAGGTTGACTGGGCTAGATGGAGGCCTGGCTTTTTGTTTTAAATCAGGTCCTAGGGAGTACTAATTTTTAGTGGGCCTTTCCTTTTGAATCTCTATTTTTGTTTACCCTTTCCCCTTCTCCATTGCCGCAGGCCAGCTAGGGGACTGCAAGCACAGGACTTGGAGTCAAACCTAGGTTTGAATCTTGCCTCACACACTTACTAGATGTGTGACCCTGAGCAATTCACTTAACCTCCTCGTGCCTCAGTTTCCTCATCTGTAAAATGAAGATAATTATAGCACCTACTTAATGACTGTTTATATAATTTTATGATTGTTAGGAAGGATCACATGTCCTTAAAGCATTGTATAAATGCTTTTGATGAGTAGCTATTCCTAGACTAGTAGTGTTTTGTTTGTTTTGGTTTTTTTTCCCTGGGGAGGGGAGAGAACAGACATTTATTAGACTCCTACTTTGTGCCAGGCACTGTGCTAAGTATTTTACAAATATCTCCTTTGATACAACAATCCTGGGAGGTAGGTGCTATTATTATTCCCATTTTACAAGTGGGGAAGCTGAGGCAAACCAATTAAGTGATTTGCCCGAGGTCACACAGCTGGTAAATGTCTAAGGCCAGATTTCAGTTCATCTTCTGATTCCAGGCCTGATGCTTCCATCCACTGTACCACCTGGCTATGTGGGTTCTTGGCTGGAGCAAGCTTATGTTCAGTCAGTTTTTTTATTTATCTTACTCTCCCTTGTGTGCATGTCTTTGACACTGTCAGCAAATCTGCAAGCACTTTTAAAAAACCTACTATGTTCCAGGCCTAATGCTAGCAGCTGGGGTTATAAGGACAAAAGCTAACCAGTCTGTGCCCTCATGAGCTCATGTTCTAGTAGATTTAAGCTCGTGGGTCTATCTTGCCCCTAAGTAATAGAACAGTCATAGAGTTGTCCATGGTGGGGTGATGGAAACCTGCAGATGTGGGGGCATAGGTGTTCAATACATGTAGGCCGTGTGTATTTTTCAAGGGACGAAGTATTTACTGATCTTTCTTTTTTGCATGTCTCTCAGAAATGTGTCCCAAAATATAGCAAACTGTAGATTTAGGGAACAGTTTCTTCTTTAGAGCTGGATGCCGATTTTGAGAACAGAACCTCAGAAGAGGATCTGGGGACCTGATTTGGCTCTTTCTTATTGGCAGGTGCCTCTTCGAGATGTACTTATCGTGTATTCTTTTGCATTATAATATGGGTCTCACTCCCAATGTTGGGCTGATCTTTCTTCTTTCTCTCCCCCACCCCCCACTTCTTCATGCAGTAAGCAATAAATAACCCCTGCTCTTGACTTGAAGTGCTTTGTAAGTGTTGAAGGGTGTTAACATTTGGTTGCTTTTTCTCTTCTTTTAGATGTAGTTCGGACATTAAGCAATGCAGAAGAATATCTTGATGATGAAGATTCAGATTAATACCTTCCCTGAGTAGCTGAGATCTGAAGCCTCTGCTGTCTAGGCCATTAAAGATAGAAATAAAAGTAAAAAAACAAACAACCCTGCCTTTGCCAGAAGAATGTTGGTAACTGTAAAAAGGATGTGTGGGAAAGGCAGTGTTGCCTTCTGTTGGAACAGAATTTGTACATGACTTGTCTTCACTTTAAATTTGCCAATAAGTCACTAGATTCCTTTGCTGTGTAAAGTGCATTTATGTTCACCAAATTAGCATAAGAGAATAATTTTTATTTATCCTACTCAAGGAATTAAAAACTTTTTTTTGCTTAATAATGAAAACTCGGGGGTGGATATATATGTATATTTTTTAAGTTTGTAATTTACCTCAGAGTTGAAGTATTTTGAATGGACTTTAGAGGGGAAAATGCTTGTTATAAACATAAACCAAAAGTATCTCTTTAGAAAACTGTCAGTTATTCTGACAAAAATAAATATTTTATGACACTTTATGCCTGTAGTCTGTTTTTTGTGAAGTTGTGTACTAATAAATGAACCTTGTGATGGTCCTAATGTTTTTTTTAGAAGCTTTTAAACAAATTATTCTGTTTTCAAATTTATTGGTACATGTTGTTTTGCCACAAATTTACTACCCCCCAAATGCCTGTAGAAACTTTTTTATAGAGTACATCCCTTCAAATACCAGATTGATTTAATGGAAAAAAGGAGTGACTAATTTGGGCAGCATGTCACTACACTGAATATTTTATTGAGGTGTGAGTATCATGTGCTCTTACAGAATGACAGGGTTCCTGGGGGCAAGATGGAGAAGTCCTAAAGAGTAGGCCAGGTTCGATCCTGGATGTTTAACCTCTCTGGGTTCAGTATTTTCATCATAAAATGAGGGAGTTGAACTCTGGCCCCCAAGGTCGCTTCTTACTCATCTAAGATTGTTTTAATGAAGTAGTATTCTATTCCATTTTGCTGTTTTGTTTCAGTTGTTTCCAACTCTTCATGACCTTGTTTGGGGTTTCCTTGGCAAAGATACTACAGTGGTTTGCCATTTCCTGAGGCATACAGGGTTAAGTGTATCTGAGACAAAATTTGAACTCAGGGAGATGAATCTTCCTGACTTGAGGCCCAGTACTCTATCTACTGTACCATCCAGCCATTTTACCATAGGCAATTCAGCTCAGCCACTTAGCTGCCCCATCTACTCCATTTACATAAAATAATTTGTTCAGCCACTTTGAGCTCAGATTTTGTTTCCTGCTTTTTGTTACTGCAAATAATGTTGTTGTGGACATTTTGATACATGTGTGTTTTTTCCCCCTTGGAATATATTCCCAGTTGAGGAATCCCTGAGTCAAAAGGTAGGAACAAATCAGTAATCTCTCTTGTATAATTCCAAGCTCTTCTAGACTTGGCTGACCCAATTCTCAGCTAAACTAACAGTGAATTCACATGCTAGCCAGGAACTTCTTAAAAATGTAATTTGAACAATTTCATGATAGTTAATGTAAGGGCAATGATCATTGAAAAGTTGTTTCAAAAAATGGTGTGTAATTAGATAGGTAATTACATCATTAATTTATCTCTATGTATCTGCTTCATGGCTCTGACACCTCAGTAAATTGACAAATCCAAGAAGACAATCTCTTAGCTGAGAGTTTTTATGGTTGTTTTTTTTTTTTTAGTGTTAGATGCACAGTAGTCATGACAGATTTTTTGTATTCAGTTTTTCTTTTTGACAGTTTCTCATGCTCACAAAATGTGGGTGTGACCAGGAGGTTTTTCATGGAAGAAAAAGTTAGAATAGTAGAATATCCTCTGTAATAGTTCTACTGAATATAAGAACCTGATTCTGTGTTACTGAGATAATGTTAGAATCCGCTGTTTCAAAGTCGATTATGTAATAGGTCTGTCATGCTAATTTCATAAAACACATTGATGAAGATAAGGAAGTGTTTAAAGAAGGAAGTGGCTCAACTCAGGAAGTAAGTAACTGCTGCTACAAGGCTTTCCTTGTCTGATGTGAGTGTCTTGAGAAGAGAAACTTTTTTGACTCCCAATCAGGCCCTTAACAAAATGCTAGTTGATGAATAGTCTATATATGTAATGGCAGTAACAAGCCATGGGATTAAATTTTGGAGTTGAGGGAAATTATATTTTAACTTTGTGAACTGAAATTCTCTCTGAGATATTAAACCTGTGCTATATAATTATACCACAGGTGTTGTGGAGAGAGCACCAGATTTGGAGTCAGGAGGACTAGCTGTCACTTTTACCCTCACTATCTCTTTCTGACTAAGACATTCTTAGCCTGGGGTCCTCAAGCTTTTTTTTTTTTGGTGAGGCAATTGGTGACTTCCCAGAGTCACACAGCTAGTTAAGTGTTATGTGTCTGAGGTCGGATTTGAACTCTGCTCCTCCTGACTCCAAGGCCGGTGCTCTATCCACTATTTGACCCAGCTGCCCCTGTTTTTTGTCTTTTGAAAAATGTTTTGATAACTATTTCAATATAATTGGTTGCCCTTGTAATTGTATGAGATTTATTTTATAATAACTATGTAACATATCTAATAAATGTAATTTGTAATAAATGTAACAAATAGTATAGCATTATTCTGAGAAGGGGTCCATAGGATTCACTAGGGTGACAAAGTCACCTTGACCCCCAAAATGGTTAGGAACCCTTCATCTAATCTATTTGTACTCTTCCCTATGTTCGCTGGCACCACCGAAGTTCAAGCCTTTATTGCTTCTTGACTGGATTTTTGAGATAACCTAACCAGGCTTCCTCCCACCAGACTTCCTCCTCTTCAGTCTATCCCATCCACCATTACCAGAGCGACCTTTCTAAATTATAGCTCAGATAATTTTATTGACTTGCTCCCAAACTTACAGTGATTCACCATTGCCAACTAAATGAAATCCAAATTCAGTTGGCATCAAGGCATCCCATCTACTTACCCAGTCTAATCACCCAGCTACACAAACACTATACCTTACAAGGTGCATTGCTCACTGTAAGCATGCTCAACACTTTTCTGCCTCCATATTTTAATGTTCCCTCTCCCTGTCATCGTTCCCTCTCCTCACTTCTCACCACCTAATAACTAGTCTTTATATATTGCTTTAAGGTTCACAAAAGCACTTTACATTTGTACTCATTTGATCTTTACAACAGCCTTGTGATATAGGTGCTATTATTATTTCCATTTTAGAGCTGGGGAAATGGTGACTGAGGTGAAGTGACTTGTCCAGGGTCATATAAGTGTTTGAGGCAGGAATCGAACTCAGGTCTTTCTGTATCCAAGTCCATCACTAATATTGCCCCCTACATCTCCTCCTCTTGAAATTTCACCTATGTATCAAGTCTTGGCTCAAATGACACCTTCATAAAGCTTTCTCCATCTCTTCCACCTCAGTGCAATAGTCTGTTTTCTCTGAAGCCCAGCGATTACTTTTTCCCCCACCGACATTTAATCCACTTACCACATCCTGCTTGTATTACAGCTGTTTATATACATGCCTTAGCCCTGTCCAGTCGACTACAAGCAATCTGGGCCCCCTACACAACATCTTTAGCATGGTCTGTTACATAAAATAGGTATTTAATAAATGTTGCCTTTTCCTATGTAACCCTTAAGCAAATCTCCAAATTGTGGCCTTTGCCTCCTCAGTGGCCGTGCAGAAGTCTGATGATCCTTCGTAATTTTTTGGTGTCCTCCTAGCTCTTGTAGATTTTGAGTCCAAGGACATTTTGAGTAGATAAAAAAGGCAATGGGAAGGGGGAAAAAATCAACACCATATATAACCTTAAGGTGATGGTAGTAGTAGTAATAGTAGTAGTAGTAGCAGTAATAGTAGTAGTAGTAGTAGTAGTAGTAGTAGTAGTAGTAGTAGTAAAAATATTTAAAACATGAGAATAGTGTGATCTTTATAGTTACATTTAAATTCAAGGACAATGTTTATATTTAGATGAAGATTTTGTGAGGAAATCCTAGGGTGGGGACCACTGCCTTAGGGGACAGTTTGTCAAGTAAAGAGGGAATGGGGGGGGGAGGGAGAATGAGGACATCACATCACAGAAGGTATGCACATATTCATCTTTTGATATATGTAAGAGTTTGGGGGTGAAAAAAAAGGACAGATTCATTCAGTTCTAGCTGAGACACCATGGGAAAATTTATTTTTGCTTTTGTGTTGACTTGGCTTTTCATGGGTATCTACCAGTAAATCTGTGGTTTTCACAGAGGCTTAGGGAGTGCTGAATGCAGCAACAAAATAAACCTGTTCCATCATCCAGTAGCTGCATTGCAGTGATAGCCCTGCAAAGGGCAAACAAAAGCTTGTGATTTATCTCCTGGAAGCAATTTTAGAAGTTGTCACCGTCTATACTTTCTGGCTGTCTTGGTGCCTTTGTCCTTTAGAAAGTACCTTCTAGGCAGTCAGTGGATTTACTCCTCAGCTACAACTCTGCCTCCTTTAATGTAAAGGAGAGAGGTTTCTAAGTTAGGTTTCATTTGTGGGATTGGCCTGATGCTGGTTTTAATTTTCATAGTGTTCCCTATCCAATCACAGAAGGGACCAGATTTCTGTATTCAGGCCTTGCATCTGTTACCTGTTTCTCTGCGTAGACAAATAGGAAACAAAGCTATTGTAGCATGAGCCCAGTAACTGTGATTTATTATTCCTTTGCTCTTTTCTGTTTGGAATGGTAGTAGCAGGGATGGAATCTGACGTGAGTTTGGTTGAGTCGGGCAACATGTTGTTTAATGTAAGCTTTCTTCATTTTAAAGGGCAGACATTCTTATTGACTAATGATTCTTCTGAGTAGAATATTTCTCAGTGATTAAGACTGCTGATCTGACTTTTAGAGTGGATAGAGGTCTTGGGTAAATAGCTATGGATTGATGGCCAATTTGGCCCTTTGTAATTAATACAGCAGTTAGAAATTGGGTAATCAAGTTTCTAATTTAAGCACCTGAAAGTTGAGAATTTGTTGGGGATTACTGCAAAAGGTTCTATAAACCATTTTCTAATTAACTAAAACTCCCATAGAAATTATTCCTTCCCTATCATATATAGTATTGATCTTTATCTTAAATTATCCCTCCTGGATCTATTTTCCAGGTCAGTTGTTTTTCCAGTGAGGTATTTTACACTTTCTTCTATTTTGTTCATTCTTTTGATTTTGTTTGACTGATTCTTGATTTCTCATAATCATTAGCTTCTGCTTGCCCAATTCTAATTTTTAAGGAATTATTTTCTTCAGTTAGCTTTTGTACTTCCTTTTCCATTTGGCCAGTTTATACTTTTTAAGGAGTTGTTTTCTTCAGTGGATTTTTTTTCCTTATTTGGCCAATTGTATTTTTTTAAGGAATTGTTTTCTTCACTCAGTGTTTGTCCTTCCTTTTCCAAGCTGTTGACTCTATTATATAACTCTCATTTCTTTTCCCAATTTTTCTTCTACCTCTCTTATTTAATTTTTAGAAATCCTTTTTGA